CGCGCGCGCTAAGGCCCCAACGCCGCTGCGGGTCGTCACTTCCGCTCTGGTGCTCCCAACTCTTGCGATTTACAAGTTTAATCAGGGACCCGTTAAATTACCAGCCGCAGTCGTAAATTTCTTTTGTATCCCTGAGTTTTCTTTTTTTCTTTTTTTTCTTTCTTATTGCATTTTTTCTACGCAGTTGTAACCATCGATATGTCGCCGTAAAAGATTTAGAAGATATACTGTCAAGAGATAACGTTTCTTTACGTTTCCGATGCATCATTCAAAATGATTCGTATGTAAATTATTCATCGTCAAGGAGCTTACTGACATAACAAACGCGTTGTATTTTTACTCGAAAATATACAAAAATATACGCGTAAACCAACAATTCGTAAACAAACATTTCCTTCTTTCCACTAAAAGTATATTAAACGCGAACGTGTCTTTCCATCCATAGTAAACGGTCTTTTTTTCCACTCGACAACGTCATCGTCATCAGACACTTCATTACACACCATTGCATGGCAATTTGCAAAAGTGATCATTGAATAATGATCTCTGAGGGCAAAATAAATCTGACTAACGCTCAGGCGTCACATAAGAGTTCAATGTATGTGAAAGCCCGAGTGCGCCGGGGATGTATGACCCATAAATAATAAACCGACCGCATAATAATGATATAAAGCTATACCCTCGGACAGCGCTAATTTTCCTTGGCGCAAAATTCGTTGGCGCGTCTCATCGATGATTATTATTTGAATAAAATGCGACGTTTTGATACAACGAACCTCTTCATTATACATACGCCACGGCGATTAATGCATTTTTCTCTCGATGCGCGCACGCGGGTTACTCATCGCTCGGTAGTGTTTAATCAAAAATTATGATCGTTCGCTCGCTTTATTTATCGATTTTTCTTTTCTTTTACACATCGTTACTTTTTTCTCCGCTCCAGAGTTAACTCGCGCGGGCAAAACGAGTCGACAAAACGCGGATTCGCTAATCGTCTACGAGCACAATATCCCGCTGAGCGTTTGGCGTCGCGCGGACAAACGCGCCGATAACACATAAATTTTCCGCAACGATCGCGGAAACAGCGAAAAGCTAGCGCGCGGCGAATGGTTGACAAACAGCCGAATTAATTTGTAAGGAGCGCGCGCGCGGTCACGAATGACGCATTGTGTCGTCGCGTGCGATAATCGGCCGTCTTATTTTGCGCTCGCCATAACACAGTTCAATCGCACACGCGTGCGCGCAAGTGTGCGAGCGCGCGTGTGTACAGGCCGAGAGAGAGAAGACAATGGCTCTCGATCGAACGGCGAGCGAGCGCAAAAGCTCGATGCTCCTTTCTTTCCTCGTCTGATTGTGCGTTCGTCGCCGCGCGGCTGGCACGCGAGGCTTATAAGGCCCGATTATATAGGCGCGCGATCGCCCAAGCCGTTGCACGGCGAAATATCTCTGCCGCTACCGCGTTCGCGCAAACGAGCGCTGTCCGACGGGCCTCGTCTCCGCGAGGCGTGCGTTCTTGCGACCGCGCGGTAATTTCGCGCCGCCGCCGGAGAAGAAAACGCAGGCGTAACCGGCAATTCGTCGTTGCCGTATCGCCGGTAAATTGAATAATACGACGCTAGGCGCGATCGCGCGATAAGTACGTTGCTTCTGCGACTTTACGATCGTCTCGGCGACTCCTGCACTTCATATTTACGCGACTCTAACGCGTGATTCATGTTTTGTCGATATATAACGAAATCGCGCACACGCGGTGTCTGCCTCGCGCGCAACCCACCCGCTCTGCACGCGGCGGATCGTTAATCATCCGAAGCGGCGGCGTTATGAAACCATCCACGCATATCCAACGCGAGGTGAAAACAACTCGCGCTTTGAATAAATAATTGCCTCGCTGGTGCAGTATCGTTTTCTCCGCGTTTCGCGGAATCGCCGCTGCTACGCTCTCGCGATCGAATGGAAAATGCCCGTGGCGCTTGGTCGTCCGTCGGGCGCACGCGCGCATCGATTTGACAAACGAACGGCGAGCGGAGCTTGCGCGTCTCGCGGGCTCTCGCGCTTCATCGAGACTCCGTTTCGTTACGACCGGTGCTGGGCCCCCCCCCCCCCTGGCGGCGCGTATGTGCAAGCCGACACGCGCGCGCTATCTCTCACAGCCGATTTCTCGGGCGCGCTTATCTCGCCAGCCGCTATCCGTTCGGTTTTCTCGTCGTCCGCGCGCGATCGTCTTTCGCGCGCCGCGCGGACAGATCGGATTTTCGCCCCGAGGATGCCGACGAGCTCCGGCGCTCGCGCGGCTTCGTTGACGAATCGCCTGGCTGCGTTTGTCGGAGAAAAATTTGCGGAGCGAACGCCGGCCAGCGCTAATCGGCGCCGCGCGCGACAATAAAGCGTGATTCTTATTATCGCGCTTGACCTCTCGCGCATTCGTTGTAAAGGCTAGCGCCGCGCCGCGTGCGCGCGCGCGTATCCCACACCTTCGTCGAGGCTTTTCTCGAAGCGGTCCAAGCAGCTTCGCACCTGCGAGGAGCCTCCAACAATAATTATTAGCCACAGCCTATTCCTGACAGAAAGAAGGGAGCGTCCCGATGGGAAATTTATGTCTCTCCGATATGGGGCCCGCGCGCGAAAAAAGTGCGCGCAGAGTCGCCATGTTGCTCGCGCGCATATTCCCGTGCGCGTCGGTGATATATAGCTTGTAATAAGCACTTTCGCGCCTAGGCGAGCCCTCTTAACGAACGGCAAACTTATAAATAGCTACTTACCTCCAATTTCTCGGAATCGGCATGTTGCTCATTTACAATTTAATCGATTTGCTTCGGTGCGCATGCCCATTGTGCCAGGCGCGCGCCGTAGCGCTGCCTCATTTTTCCTTCGAGCCACTCGAAGCGCGCCGTATTTTCCATATCGAATGTTTAAGCGAAAAAGATAAACAAACTGATGGACGATTTGGAAATGCGTTGCGTCGAGCGGTATGTCATTCAAAGTCGTCATTAGCGAGAGATTCTTTTTCGAATTCCTGAAGCGAAAGCAGCGCGTGTGTTTGAAAGGTCGGCAGTTCATCAATAACACGTCGAGGGAAGATGCAGCGCGAGCCCGCCAACTGCTATGCGGAGATAGCCGAGAGAATCTCCTTCTCTCGGCTGTATCGCGCGTAGGTGCTCCGCGCGATAATGTGAAATCCAATCGAGCGGAAGCATTTGGCCGAGCGATTACAGCTCTCATTGTCCGCAAGGCGTCAAACGCGCTACAATGTCGCAAGGCGCTCCAGATATCTATATATATATTTTATATTCCGCCTCGAAATAACAAACAACGGACTGCCAGCTATTGCAATTAAGACGCGTCTTCGGTCATCTCAAAACAATGGCTGCGCACGCCTCCGCGGGCGCGCACGGCCGTCTTGCGCTCGGTCATTTTTTTTTCGCGAATATATACGAGGCGCGGGTCCATTTTATGATCCGCGAGTTGTAAATCAAGCCCGCAAGCCGAGATGGACGCTAAGTGGCTATCCGCGCGCGCGGAAAGCAACTGAACATTGATGTACCGAGCAGGAGATTGACTCGCGGCAAGCTAGTTAAAGCCGCCGATGTTGCGTTCTATCGACGTACACCAACGCGAATTTCGAGAAAAACCGCCGAGCTATTGCTATTGCGCGATATACTTGTTTTTTGGAGCCAATCGAGCACGTCTATATGAAGCGAGGGACGTGCGTACGGAGGTAGCAAAAAATAAATAAATAAAAAGAGGCGCGCGCGCGTTGATTATATGCCGCGGAAGGACAGTCGTGGGAATTCCATTAAAGTGTCCTTGAATGGTTCATTCATGTCGATCGCAATGCCCTGTCGTCGTCGCACGTCTCGACAAGAGAGAGAATGAGCGGCTGTATTATACCGCTCTACTATCTCTGCTGCTGCTGCGCCGCCGCGCGTGCACTGACAGATCAATCGCCGTAGAATTGGCGGCAACGGCCGATGCTACACGCACATACGTAGTTTCCTACTTGGGATTCTTTCGATCGTCTTTCCTTCTCCTTTTTTCACGACGGTGACGCTATGCGCTTTTCCTCGGTTCGTCTCCACAACGAAAGTTATAGCCAGACTTATCAGAGAAAAATTATCGGTCGAGTGTGTCAACGAAAAAACTTATTCAAAAACCTTACATCTCACTCATAACAATGCGCTTTCGCTCGGTTGCAAATTATTTTAATCCAAAGCTTCCGACATTTGCAAACTCCGCGACAATGAAATCTGTACGCGAAGCCCTAATGAACTAATGAAAATTCATGGCTATCTAAATACACTTCCATTTGCTAATATTCGACGCTTTGTTATGTACAGGCCTTCGGCGATGATGATCCCTTTATGTTCTTGCCCCGAGTTGGTTTTTTCTTTTCCGTATGTCCGCCTGTGCGGCGCGTGCGCCGGACGGATCGAGAGTCAATTACTCGCGGCAGCAAACTCATTCGGATGCCATACGAAATGGGAGGGCCCCCTAATTGAAAATAATCCGATGCGGCCATTCAATGGTAACGGCGCGTGCGCCGCGACATGACGTCGGTTTGTGCACGCGGCAACGGATAATTGCTCTCAGTTTGTTGCATCTATATATATTTACGGATGCCTTTTGAAGTTGCTCGGTTTCTTACAGATATCCCCTTTTTAGATCGCTAGTTCGATTCTTTATAGCCACCATAATCGGCAATTATTTAAGCTCGATTGCTCGTCTGTCCTTAGGTCGACCGCGTATCTTTGCTATAGTTCACCAAATTATCTTTCGCAATTCAATATTGCTTTCAACTAAGCAGCCGTAAACATGATTTTATTGTTTGACTGATTGTAAGAAAAACTTAAGTCCGATAAACAAAAATCATCGTGAAAAAGAGAAAAAGCGTGGAGCTGTTAAACTCACTACGAAGAGAATAAATAAGTGGTTATTATCCGGATAAGCCGTGAATGAAAAAGATTGGTATAATTGATATAGTGGACGTTTGTTGGCTGGCGCAGGATGCTGGAGAGTTACGAGAGGGGCGAGGTGACACCACCACCGGTAAGCAGTTACGGTGGTTCGCCAGGACTGCTGGCGCTGCACTCCTCGTTGTACGCGACGCCCACGTCGGGGCGACCCTTCGACATTGACTCGGGCATCGACGGCAACGAGAGTCCCATGTCTATGGACACGCAGATCATACCCGTAAGTCTCTGCTAACCTTATATCGTGGCGCACTTTCCACGGCGTGAAAGTCGCCTTGAATTATTCACGCGCGTCTATCGGACCTTTTTTTCCCCCTTGCTCGCTGCAGCAGAGACGCTAAATTATAAGCGCGAGTTCTGTTACGTTGTGCAACGCTCGAATGCTTTGCATTTTAGCTGCGTGAGTAATGGCGCCAATTCTTCTTTTCTTTTTTTCTTTCTTTTCAATCATTTCCGTCATTTAGTGTAACGCGATACATTTTCCGTTTGTTTGTTATGTTATTCATTTATTTTCTTTTTTATGCGCGTCTAACAGTTTCGACGAGTAACATGATAACGGTAATTGACGGTCGATCGAATGAGTATTGGGGAATAATTTTCAGATCCCAGGAATGTTGAGTGGGCCACAGCAGCGGTTAGAAGATATGTCGTGGTTGGCCTCGGGACCAACGTTGCAGGATTATCAACAAAGCTTGGGTCCGATGGGTGGTGGTGTGAAGATGTGTCCACCGGGTGCCGCTGGCTCCGCTGTGGCGCGAAGTCTCAAAGAGCAACGGATCCGTCGGCCCATGAATGCGTTTATGGTCTGGGCTAAAGTCGAGCGTAAGAAACTCGCCGACGAGAATCCCGATCTGCACAATGCTGATCTCAGCAAAATGCTTGGTGAGTACCCTTACGTTGGCTCTTTCTCTGCGTTGACATTGTCGCAGGGAACAATGAGTTGTGAGCAAATTGCTCAGAGTAAATGATTATTTGTAGGGAAAGTGCAATTATTAGGTGCACTAAGAATATGAAAACGAAAGGAAAACATAAAGCCGAAAAGATTACAGTAATCGAAGAAGGGTATTTTCCGTCCAAAGTGAAATCGCATCACTTTCGTTTCTTTATTCGAAAAGATTTTAAAAAATTGTAAAAGCGTATAACACTTGAGTGCAATTTCTTAAAAGTGCAACCTACACACCAATCGATCACAGGCCGATCTCTCAATCTCCAATTGGCGTACAGTACTTAAAATCACATTACACGTCCAATGAGTTTTCAGCAAGATCTAGATCCCCCTCGCGCTCTCTCTCTCTCTCTCTCTCTCCCTCGCAACAAATCCACTTTCGACTAATTATACTCACCTTCTTTGGTCTTTCCTTTAAAAAAAAAGAAGAAAAAAGCGAGAGGCCACTAATCAGGAAGGTTGTTTTTTTCTCTCCTTCTCCGCGCTTTCCTGTCGCCCGGAAAAATCAGACAAGAATAAGAATCGCACTCTTTTTTCCTGCGACGCGTGTGGGAATAAGAAAGCTTGGTGAAAAGAGTTATTATTCGTAATTATAACGTTTGCAAGATAGGGAAGTCCATTTACGGTGAAAGGCAGAAAAAGAAAAAAGAGGAGATCGCCCCCGCGCTATTGCTCCTCTTCGTCGCTCGCTCCAGATCACGTTCGCGGATCAAGGTTGTGCCGAGGAAAAAGAGTCGCTGCATGCGATCGGCGCACTCGCCGGCAAAGAAAAAATAAAAAAACAAATCTCACCTTGCTTAAGTAAACTCCGGCGTCGGGTCAGATGCTAACGATTACGAAATCCTTGGGCGCCTCTCTCGACAGCGAGCGAGAGTTAACAGTAACGCTCTGCACTTTAGAGCTTTTGTTTTCCAATAGCCTCGCCGGCATAACACGATACAATTACATTGCTTCTTGCGCGCCGAAGATATACCGTGCGCGAGGAGTAGCGTTAGTCTAGGCCGCGCGCTGTTTTGTCGAGGGAGCTAGCACGTATAGAAGCAGCTGACTCTCGTGTGTCTCTCTTTCGTTATTTTTTCTCTCTTCCAACGATACCGGTTTGCGCGCCTCGCAAGCTTTGGCAATACCATGTAGCCCGTGGAGTTTTCAAGAAAGAAAACTGACTTGCCCCTCCTCGCCCTCGCGGACTCGTCGTTTCGAGCAAGCGCTGCTGCTCGGTGTCTTGCCGATCGATCGGTCGATTTGCTTGCCAAATCGAAACACTTGGTGGCGCCGAAAAACAAAAGAAAAACCGTCGCTACAACGGTCTGCGCGCACGTCGTGTCGAAATCGCCGAACCAAACAGCCGCGAGACATTCAATAAAAGCAAACATTGTGCGTCTACTTTCGGTGCAATTTCACACGCACTTATCCGGAGCGACCGTTTTTCAAAGGCCATTTACTGCCTATTGTGTTTTGATATTTCAATTGGCGACGTTATACGCAAGGCCAATTTCGCAATGTACCCGCGACGCAATTTTTCTCTAGCCAGGCAAAATGCAAAAAGACAATATTTCGCGTCAAATAGTTGCGGATGTATATACGAGGAAACTCCTCCGCGTTGCAGGCGCGTAAATCAAAGCCGCGGCGCGAGCCACCCGCGCGAGGATTATTATGCGCCTCGGGTGTCGGAGGACGCCCCCATCCGATACTTTATATACATTCAACGATGCCAACGCTGCCTTCTCCCTCTTCGATACGTATACATTAATTTCTTTCCATTCCGCGCAGCTCCCCTTCGACGGACGCGCGTGCCGATTCCTTCTCGATTCGTCATATTTGCATTCCTAAGTTGCCTTATTTCATTTACCGAGACGCGCTGTGGTTAAACGGGCCGCGTTGGTGACGCGCGAAAGATTCGGCTCTCTCCGAGAGAAGACCCTCTCGCGAAGGAAAAGCGCAAAAAAAAAGCGCGGCATTTTTGCAGACGCGGGCGCACGGGTCCCGACGCGCGTGTCAGACACACGCTTGCAATCGGGGATTGCCCGCTCTTCCGTCGGCGCGACCGCAACACGCGTGCGAATGGGCATTTCGTGTAATTCGCGAGTTCGCTTCGCTTTCCTTATCCCCTCCCTCTCCGTCGAGCTCGATTATTTTTCCCTCTTATCGTTACGCGCCCCGGTGGTACGAGCGACGAGTCGACGCTCTCGCGGGTAGCGAAGGATAGAACGACGATTGCAGCGCAGTGAAAGAGAAGAAGGAGATATAGGCGCGCGCGTGGGGGTCTCTCATATCCGGTGACACGCGTGCTCGCGCATCTTTATTAATCACTTGCCTTGCCCCGACGCTCCGCGTTTGCGCGCCGGCGAAGGCGCCAAGCGCAGCTGACCGCGCCGCACGGCACTCGCTCGCACTCAATCTCCGCGTCGATCCTGATCTTGCTATCCATCCCGCGGACGCGCCGACAGCGCTGGCGTAAACGTGCCTCGCGCGATATATCAAAGGCAGCGGCGCGATTTGTCAATGTAGCGATTATTCTTGAAACGCGTCTCCGCTCGAGGCTGCCGCGGGAGGAGGTGGCGCGAACCTCGGGCGGGCGTCGTCGCGTTCGAACGCGCGAATTCAATTGTCGGAGGTGTCGTGCGCTCGCGCGCGTCCTACACGCGCGTAACTGTCCAGACTCGGCAGTCTCGTCGGCAGCAGCGAAAGCTCACCCAGCGATAATTCAGCTCGGACGCCATAAATCGGTCCTCGGCGTTAGCACCTAATTGATCCTTAAATTACTCGATGGTCGATCTTATCTCTCGCTCTCTCCAGCGTATACATATACGCTAGCCTCTTCCGTCTTCGTTAAGCTAGCGCGCGCCCCGGCGAGAAGAGAACGAGTCAGAGTACACGTAAGTCTATTGCGCGGCCGACGCCTCCTCTCGCGAACGTGAAAAAATTCACGCAGCGAAAGAGAGAGAGAGAGAGAGAGAGAGAGAGAGAGAGAGAGAGAGAGAGAGACAATGAACACCGGAAGAAGCTTATATGACAAGCCCGAGGCTATATAGATGAGTAGGTGCGTGGCGCAGTAGGCAACCGTTTTGGCGGCCAATTAACATAGCTGAACGGGACTGCAACCCACGGAAGGGAGCTGGCGGCTTTTTCTGCGATACAGTCGCGACTCACGAGCGCGAAATTCTCGAGCGGTGCGAGCAGTGAAGCACTCGGACCACCTAACGACAAATGGTGGCAGCATTTCTCGCTATCGTGCTTTAGTGCCTTCTGATTAGCTCGTAGCTTACAGCTCGAGCGAAGCCGAAAGATACGGCTTTCCGATAGAGTATGCAGCTTGCACGCGTACGCTCTCTCTCTCTCTCTCTCTCTCTCTCTCTCTCTCTCTCTCTCTCTCTCTCTCTCTGAATTCCGGAAGGCAAAGGAGATTTGGAGAATGCGCTGATTAGGGGCAGCCCCTCGCTACTCGGCTTGCCGAGAGATTCCACTTTGATATAGAGGGGAAACACGCTGTTTAGGAGGCTTTTCGCTCGTTTTTCTCTCTGGCTTCCTTTCGCGTGCACGGCCACTCGTATGCGCTCGCCGTTTCTTGTGTCCCGCGCTCTTTTTTCTTTCCTCGTGTGGAGGAGGCTTGTAAGAGAGATTTCTTTTCTTTTTTTTTCTGTGTCTTTTTAGCGTTTTTGGCTGCTTGCTTTCGAGACCGTTTAGTAGCGACTTTTTTTTTCAATGATGAAGATCGCTCGAGAGGTGTATAGGAACAAGTTTTTTTCTTTCCTTCAGTTTGCTGGTTTACATATTACAATACACCACCAAACATTCAGTTATTCGCGTTTCATTCGTGCTTTCATTTTATAAGTCCTGTCGTACGGTAAAACTGCTGTCGCGAAAATGTACCATTTTCAGTGTGATAATGCTTATAGAAACCGTGGGCGACGTTTAACGCGAATCTTTCCCCGGAGCCTGCAATTTGAGGTTTATTCAACTGAAGTATAAGGCATTTTTCTCAGTCTCTCTTCGGAAGCTGCAAAGTATTTTTACAGATGTCATAGGCGAAAAAGTTTCTTATATTTAAAATTACCGTGAAGCTTACCCTGCGCAATAACTGCGGAGAACAGAGAGTCAACAATCGTGTTTTCTACTGTTTTCCGTATTTGCAACTTTACTGACGGTGAAATTTTCATTTTTATATTTTTCAATATAGTCTAGCTAAATTAAAATCTCATTCTGTGTTCCATTTGTGGCTAATATCATCTCTCGTTTTAAAAAAATGTTAACATACAAGGGCTTTGACTCTCGTATAATATCATCGAACAAGATAATTTGAATTAAAAATTCACAAAGTTTGCTCGAATAGATTTAAACGTCCGAAGTACGATTCTGGAAGTTCATTCTCACAGAATACGAACAACAACAAAAAATGAAACCTATTTATAACTTTTTCATGAAGCATCGTGTGAATGCGTGCAAAATTCACAAGCCAAAGTTGTTTTACTCGCGTGTAACGTGAATCAGTTATGACAATCCAATGTAAATCCTTGTATATATATATATATATATATATATATATATATATATATATATATATATTTATATATATATTTATATATATGCAATATCGCAAGCGCGCGCGACAACGTCTATATACTATTAAATGCCTATGTGTTTACACAAAGAGACGTAGTGCTTCGCTTCTCGCGCGTTGTGAGGCCGAAACAGTAATAGAGGAAGTGACTAACGCGAATTGAGCAATTGCGATTTTATAGCTGCAAGCTGCAGCAGCAGCAGCGTGTATATAATGTCGTAAGCCGTAAAACCCATAGGACATAGTGAGAGACGCCCAATAATTGCGTATACATATCAAATGAAGAGAAAGGGTCTCGTCTCATTCCAAGACGAATGATACTCTACCCCTCACCTTCTTTGCTGAAAAAAAAGAAAAAAGTTATTTCTTTCGGCTACC